TTGAGAAGAGAGCAGCATCTTGTCCAGGTGGCTGGACTCAGTATGGGAATCGATGCTTTCTCTACAATCACGATCAAATGACTTGGGCTCAGGCGCAGGTAAAGGCAGTGGTCTAAATTTATCATTTATTCTTTGTGAAATCTTAAATCTTTCTGTTTACGTTGTCATTTCTATGAACTCTGTTGATTTCCATTGTAGAGAATCTGCCGAAACATGAATGCAAACCTGGCATCTGTACACAGCTACGACGAGTATCAGTTCATTCGAGGCGTCATATCTAGGGCCACTCATGAAAGTGGACTAACATGGATTGGTGGCTCAGATGGTCAACAGGTATAATTTCACTTATCATTATTCAGATGACCCTTCCCCATTAGCAAGCACTTGGTGACAGAGGGGAAGAAAAACATTTTTTAACAGAAAGAAACCTGAGGCAGAACCAGGCTCAGGGATTAGCACACATCTGCAGTAGATAAGGAGGTCTTTAAGATCAGATGGGATCTGATTTTTCAAGACTTTTAAATTCATTCTTGATAGTATTGTCTATAACTGCACATTTAGAACTTGGAACTGTAGCTTAATTTTAAGTGTATTCTTGTCTGCTTTTTCTGTTTTCTAGGAGGGTTACTGGTTTTGGATCGATGGAACCTCTTTCACATTTACGCAGTGGTGTCAGGGAGAACCTAACAACCATAGGGGAAACGAGCATTGCTTGCTGGTGAATTTTTCAGGTAAACCTTCTGTGAAATCCCTAAAAGTACGATGTATGAGCACTGTAAATGTTAAAGAAAAAAAGAAACAATACCCACAATTCCCCAAATAATTTTTATGCATTTAATGTGACAAACAGTAATGTGTGACAGAAATGTAAAACAAGTAGTGTCATTTATTTTTTACAAAGACAGCAGTTCAATTTTTTATCATATTGAATATTTACATAGTGTTTTGATGCAGCAGTAAACACATGTATGCATCAGGTGCTATTGTTATACAGAACAAAATATTTAGATTAGTAATCATTTCTCCATGTGATTATGATTTCAGTTCATTCTGATTTTATCTACTTACAGGAAGCAAGTGTTGGAATGATGGGACATGTGACAGCCGATTCCCATTTATTTGTGTCAGGGCCATCTGATGATTCCTGGGCTGTCATGAAGGTGTGGCCCACCTGACGACAAAGCAAATACTCTAATATATCACAATAAGAATCTGGTTCTGATTTGATTTACTTCTTTTCTTTTACTGTAATGCTGCATAAGGAATGAAGCGACACGTGACATAAACTGGAGGAGCTCTTTTAACAGGAGCAAATTGCATGTGTACATGAAAGAATGCTTTTAGCAAAACTTTGTTTCCCAGAATGAATTGTTGTTTCTCATCTTCTTCATCATTAAAATCTTAAGCATTGAATCAAACTGGTCTGTGCATTTTCGAATGCTTAATACTCATGAGTGTACTCTTAAATTTCACATACATCTGCACTGTAAAATCTAACTAGTTCTCTGAGCTCAAAAAAAAACAAAACATATGCAAACGTGTTGCCTAGAAAAAAAAACTAAGAACACTTACTTAAGATGACTAAGTTAGGACAACTTAATCATTGTGAGTACAAAGGACCAGAGATGACTTATTTTTTTCTGAGTGAGCAATACTAATTGTTTAACCACTGAAAAAGATTTCAAATTTCACTAAATTTAAAAAATATATTTTGTGGTAGCTTACTAGTTTCAATTTTGCTTATGTTTTATCATCCTTGAACTTGAGATTTGTAGCAGAACACTTAAACACTATAAACACTATAAGTATAGCTCAGAAAAATTAACAGCACTTCTTGTAATGCAATTAAAATCAGTCCAACTGTGATTTTCAAATGCAAAAAAGTATATCAGTAAACATCCTGGACATTGTTCTGCTGAATAACAAACAAGTATATTCCTACTATTGTAGCTTGTGCTATTTAATAATACCTAAAAAATTATTA